AAAATTCTAGCTATCTTTGTTGCAGAAATTAACAAGTGATCCTACACTTCACATGGAATTGCAAAACTTAGAATTCAAAACAATCTCAAAAATAAAAGCTGGATGATGTACGTGTTCCAATTTTAAAAATCACCATAAAGACTTAAAACTTATAGCTGAAACTATACAACTCTGGAGATACAGATGTAACATTCGTGACCTTTGATTAGGTAACAAACTTAGATATGATACCAAAAGCACAAGCAATAAAATCAAAAACAGAAATGTCGATGCATCAAAAGGGCATTTATAGAGAAAGCAAATGGGGAAAAATATTATAAATCATGTATCTGATGAGTCTAGTATCCAGAATACATAAAGAACTCTTACAACAACAAACTAATGACAAAGATTAAAAAAGAAATTAAATGACAGCAAAGGATTTGAATAAATATCTCTCCGAGAACTTATATAATTGGCCAACACACACACAGGAAATGTAAATCAAAACCAGGAACTACTTTGTCATGCCAATTAGAATAACTTATTTTTTTTTAAAGGGGAAGAAACAAGTGTTGGAGAACATATGGAACAATCAGAATGCTCACACTTTACTAGTGGGAATGGAAAATGCTGCTGAGGAGAATTTCATGGTTTCTCAGTAACCTTACGATTTACCACATGAGGGCCCTCCCTCGTGGCCCAGTGGCTTAAAGTACAGCACTACAAAGCTGGCAGTAACCGCTTTGGCATGAGCTCAATCCCCCACTAGGGAGGTGACCCACATGTCACAGCAGACCTCTCCTGTCTCACCCACTGCCCCCCTCAACAGTGTACCTGATCAATCTGCCTGTTCTGTTCCCCACTCTGTCTCCAGTGAATGCTCTCACACACACACACACCCCCAGCCCTGCAACTTTGGCCTGTGCTGCAGTTCTGTATGCATAAATAAATCTTTAGGAAAAGAAACAAAAGATTTACCATATGACCAGCAAGATTTACCATATGACCTAGGAATTCTACTCTACTTTTGATGACACAAAAGCCTGTAAATGAGTATTCATAGCAGCATTATTTCTAACCGCCAAAAAAACGGAAACAACCCAAATGTCCATTAATTGATAAATGAAATGTGGCTTTTTATCTATTATTCAGTCAAAAGAAATAAAGTCTTAATATATGCTACAAGGAGGTGGGACTTTAAAAACAGTATACCAAGTGGAATAAGCCAAGCCCTAAAGGACACATACCAGAGGATTCCACTTATATGTAATGTTCAGAATAGGCAAAATCTACAGTGACAGAAATTGAACTCATGGTTTCAGGGGGCTGGAGAAAAGAGGAAAGGTAAGTGACTACTATCGAATGTAGGTTTGCTTAATGGGCTGATAAAAATGTTCTGAGAGTGGTGAAAACCATTAAATTCTATAGGCAAAACAGTGACTTTTTTTTTTTAATTTATTTATTTATGCATACAGGCCACAGATGCAGGAGCAGTGAGAGGATTCATCAGAGACAGAGTAGGGAGGAGAACAGGCCGACTGATGAAGTACACTGCTGAGGGGAGCAGCAGGCAGGTCAGGAGAGGTCTGCCACGCCATGTGGGTCACCTCTGGGGCAGGGATCGAACTCATGCTGAAGTGGCTTTAGCTTCTCAGTGCTGTGTTTTAACTCGCTGCGCCACCAGGGAGGGCCCAAAACGTGACTTTTATGGTATATAAATTCTCAATTCAAGAAAGTGTAAAAACCAGTTGATATTAAAATGTCTTTGTTCACTAAAGGAATACATTTATTATAGCATCTCTCTGAACATGATACTCATTTGACATTCTAACTTTGTACATACAAAGCAAATACTACAGAGTTCAAATATTATTTGCTTTTAAACATAGTTGTTAAAGTTAAAAATATTTACATTAATACATGACCTGAATAAATGAGTTGTACCATATTCCTTGATTAACAGGAAAATACTTAAATAAAAGTTAATAAAAAAAGTTAATTAACCCCAAATATAATATATAAATTTATATATTTACATGTTATATTTATATATGTTAACTCCCATGCTTACAAATTTAAAATATAAATGTAATGTAATTGTGGCCACAATCTTAATGGAGAAAATTTTAAAAATAGAAGAAATGTCTTAAAAAAATCAAGTATAAATATTTAAAAGGATAGAGATATGAGACCTGCTTTTCTATATGTTAAAACTTATAAATTACAACAAAATCAGTAAAATATAGCACAGGAGTAAGCAGAACTTAAACAGAAATCCCAGAAACAGATGCAAGTAATATCAGAACTACTATATGATAATTCAATGGAAAAGCCTTTAATAAATCATTTTAGGATGCCTGGTTCCATGCAGCTGTAAAAGGTAAAGACTCCCTGCCTTATATAAAAGTACTTGTAAATTATAGATTTACATGTAAAAATCAAAACAAAGTATCAGTTAAGAAATTGGGAGACTCAGCACCATCACTGCAATGGCCTGAGTTCGATCCCCTGCCAGGGAGCTGATCCACACCGCCCAACAGACTTTTCCTCTCTTGCTCACTGCTCCCTTCAGCAATGTATTTCAGATCTGCCTGTTCTGCTCCCCAATCTGTCTCTAGTGATTCATCTCATACACACAAAACCCCTTCCCTGTACCCCTGTTCTTCCACATACATATACACACAAAAAAAATGGGGAGAGATTCTGTGTGTGTGTGTGTATGTCTACCTCCTGGTCAGGTTGGAAACCCATAAGATGTAAAGGAAAATATATAAACATCATAAAACATCCTCCCCCAAATGATTTAAAGATACTAAATTCATAGAAGATGAAGTCTATGTGACCAGTAAACATGAAAAACTAGTCAACTTTAGTAGCCAAGCCATGCAAATTAAAGCAAAAATGTAAATCCATTTTCACACATGGTGTAAAACCATACTTCTAAAAGAGGACTGAACTCAAGTGGGAGAGGTTTTCAGGGAAGTTCAGCAATAAGGAAATGAAATATTCATCAAGTTTTATCTGGCAAATTATGGAAGCCAAAGGCAGATGAGTAAATTAAGATGTAGTACGGAGTACTACTCAGTCATAAAATGCATTAAATCTTGCCATTTAAAACAACACATATGGAAATTATGCTAAATAAGTCAGGAGGAGAAAGACAAATATTAGATGACTTCACTCATGTGGAGTACAAAGAAACAAAGCAAAGGAACTGACCTAAATAAATAAATAGATAAAAGGATAAACAAACCAAAACAAAAACCTGAAATCTGACCACAGAGGTTACCAGAAAAGAAGATGGCGGGAAGAAAGAGAAGCCCCAGGTATTAGTGGAAGATTATAGGGACTTTGAAAATAGATGTGATATATTTGTAGAGGTGTGAAGTCGTACCCCTAAAACATAAACACAGTTGAAAATAAATGTTACCTTAATAAACATAAAGTAAAAATACTTATATCTTCAACCCAACAATTCCAAGTCTTTATCCTAGAGTAATACACAAACATACAGAGGCACATAAAAGTATGTTAATCATCAATATTCGCTGTAAAATAAAAACTGGAACTCTAATTTCCATGAAAAGAAGGGTGAAATAAACTACAACCATACTATGTAATTCTATTTAACAGTCAATGTGAGTGGTATGAAAAGATCCTAGATGTTACTAAATGAAAATACCGGTTGCAAGACAAAAGAACACATGATGCCATTTATGCTTTTAAAAGGTACACAAAACTGTCTTTTTACTAACATTACAGTAGGAAAGGTAGGTTAGAAGGGTCACTCATTGTACCAAAATACATTTACTTGCACAGATTTTACCAGCTTCTTGCAAGTTCCTAGTCTGAATGTGGCTGTCCACCCACAGGGTGACTGGGACTCAGAAGAGGTAGTGATCTGTATTTTCTCTCTCCCGTTCTTTTTCTTTGTCTAGTCTGCCTTACAAATCATTCCATGACTAATTTTCCTAAAGCAAAGAATGAATATTTATTCAGCATTTGCCATTATGTCTACACTCAGTATTTGGAAACCAAAGGAACACTTCAGGACAATTCACCTGATTATAACACACAGTAACATGAAGCAAGTAAAGACGGGGCACAGGAGAGCCAGTCAAAATAGTGCACAACAGGCCAGGTACTATTCATCCTATTTAAAACCAGCCAGGGCTTCCCAGTGCCTATAAATTCCTAAGTCTACTATCCAACACCAGTCACAATCTGGCTTCAGTCCATCTTTCTCCTCTCTTACATTATCTCTCCCCATCACACGCTTCCAGCTCAGCCCAGCTTTAACATGTGCCCATACTCTTCTCTTTTATCTTCCTAAATATTACCTCCTTTGAAAACACTCAAATTCGTATTTTAATGAGTAGAGGTTCAGTTTTTGAAAAAGAACCATTCTGGGAATTGGCCGCACCAACAATGCAAATGTACTTGATATTACTAAAATGTACACTTAAAAATGGTTAAGATGGGGCCCTCCCTGGTGGCGCAATGGGTTAAAATGCAGCACTGCAAGCTGGCTGCACCCGCCTCAGTGTGAGTTCGATCCCTGGCCTGGGAGGTGATCCACATGGCGTGGCAGACCTCTCTTTACCCGCCCGCTGTTCCCCTCAGCAGTATGCTTCGTCGATCTGCCTGTTCTGCTCCCCACTCTGTCTCTGGTGAATCCTATCCCCCCCTGTACCTCTGGCATGTACCCCAGTTCTGTATGATTAAATCTTTTTTTTTTAATGGTTGATTTCACACACACACACACACACACACACACACACACAAGACCTCAAGACTTCCATGACCAACCCCTCTCTGTTAACTCCTACTATTCACGTTATTTTTTACAACTTAACAGGTTTACAATCATTCACAGTCTTACATTTTAAATAACTCTGTCTTCTTATCTCTCCTTCCCACTGTGGTTGCTGTCATCTTAGTGGTGCTCAATAAACATCTGCTATTAAATGACTGGCTCAGGAGTAAAATTAAAGTGCAAAAAAGTGATAAAACAATAATTGCTTTTATGTTAAAAATATTTATTTTTCTAAAAGATCACACAAAAGTTGGGGAAGAGAAAGTAGGATGTCAACTAAGTCTACATCAAAATCTGGGTTAAGGAAGGGCAAAGAGCTGCCTAAAGAAAGAGGGAGCTGGAGCAAAATGAGGTGACTGCTGCTCATGGAACTGGCAGCCTGGTTCAGCCACAATCAAGAGCACCATCAAGGTGCAGCGGGGACAGCCAAACTGCTGGCCCCAATCATTCCTCCTTTTCAGGAAGGGAGAAGCAGGGATTCACTCTTTAGACATGTTCTTAATGGTCTTGTGCTCCTTCATGGCCTTCTCCCAATTACTGCCATTGAATTCCTCAATGACAACACTCCGCACGGTGCCCTCATCCAGACAGTGTGGGGCGATTCCTAGAGGGAAGTGACACAAAGAAAGGGATGTCCCAAGAATGAGTGAGACCAGGTACCGCACTAGATGGGGGACAAACACACACCGCCAGCACTGCTATACAGCCAAGTGTGGGCCATAACTTACATCAGCCTCCGAGCTTTACTTCCCTCAGATCTCAAATGGCGTTAGACTTCTTGAAAAGCAGGGTGGCCCATGTTGGACATATTCAATTCCAGCCCAAGCACACAAGAGTAAAAAGACTCCAGCCTAGAGCAACCTCTGACTGGCAGCCTCGCGAATTCACGGGCCTTTCCCAGGGTACAGAAAGACTTTCTACGAATCAATTTCCTCCCCATCTGTAATGACTTAAACTTTTTAAAAGGCTTTCCTTTTCCTCAAGGAAAGCAGAAAGGAGCCTCCACGTGACAGACTCCAAACACAAAGGAGCTGCTAAAGGAGCAGAGCAGGGAGGGTGATGAATAACACCCTTACACACCATAAGGCACAGGACGGCCAGGCCCGGTCGCCCCACCACAGTCCGGAGGCTGCATCGGACCAGACACTAGCGCTTCAGGAACATCTCAACAGTTACTTTCCACTCAATTTTCACTGCAAATGATGTCATTCTGAATTAACACTCTACATTCCTTGCTCCCAGTGCCACACAGGACCTTAAGAAAGTTTGGAGGTTCTCCAGCTTGTGTTTTCAACAAACCAAAAACATTTTAATGGCATTATTAATGCTCCTCATTTTCTGCCCTGCTGTTAATGCCTCCTCCACCCCACAGGCCCATCTCCTCTCTGCTCTTCACTCTCGATGCCTTGCCCTCCAACAAAAGGCTCTGGCAGCACCAGGAAATGAGAAGCAGGATCTGGCTGGTGTCCAAATGATGAGAGTCAGACTTACATTCCATCATTTGGAAAAAAAAAAAAATCTGCTTAAGTGCCTTGTTCTTCTGAAACACACAGTGAAAGGGCCTAGCCAAGCAGGAGGCAGGCCCAATATGCCAGCACCCACATGTCCAATCAGCCTTTTAACCCAGAGTAGCCACAGAGCCCCTCTGCGTCCCTCCTGAGCTCTGGCCCACATTCCATTCACTTACCGAAGCCTCCGGGATTAGAGCGGGGAGTGTAAAAGCTCTGAACACCACATTTCTTACAGAAGGTGTGCTGCGCTTTGTGCGTGTTGAACGTGTATGTGGTTAAACTCTCGGCTCCCTAGTGAAAACAGAAAAATAGGTGTTCTCTTTATACCAAGATATTTCCTCCTCTTTATTATTTAAAAAAAAAATTTTTTTTTTCTAAGTTCTGGTGGGGAGAAAATCTTTTGCAGAGCTCTCAGGATGATGAGGACATGTCTAATTGTCCACAGAGACCAGAGGCTTGCTGAGGACAGGGACCCAGCTCCACTGCCTGGAAACATGCCAGTCTGGCTTCTCCTAAGTGGATTACACACAGAACTACTTAACCTAGAGTTTTCCCAATCCATGGTGAGACAGTAGAGAGTGAACCTGCCTGTTTCTGTGGCTTATATGAAGGGACAGCTCACTCTAGGGACTGATCTCTATGTTCCCAAACATGGTCTTAAGAAAACCATTTGTTTATACTTTTGTTAATTTATAAAAAAACAAGCTAGGAAAAGAATACTTGTCAAATCAGAGGCAAAGGGCTCATTTCTCAGTGGAGAATACAAATGGGAAACTGGCAAAGGAAAAGAATGGACAATTCAGAAAAAATGAAAAATACATCTTTAACCTCTAAAATGCTTTTCATGTTCATGAACAACAATGAGATAATGGCCCGCTGGGTGGGCAAAAATATAAGTTGGTTAACATGGTATTGATGAGCATGTACTCTAGTACATCAATCATGGGAACACAAATTGGTAAAATGTGGCAGGATGAACCAAAATGTTTAAATCCTTTAAATAAAAATTCTACTTCTACTTTGAAGCATTTGTCTGAGGACAACACACCGTCCCTGTTTTTTTCTTCCTTAGAGGGTTTCTCTCCTCTGCTAGCTTCTTTCCATTCTTTTCTATAAATGTTGGTAAGCCCTGAGGTGACCTCTTCCTTTTCTCCCTCTCTGGCTATACAACCTACCGAGGTGACACCAAGTCACATCAATATGTTAACAACTCCAAAATCAGAAGCTCCAGCTCTGATTTCTCTCCACACCTCCATACTGATCATTTCCTATTTCTATCTGAATGTTCCAAAACTCTGGAACTGAAATTAAAAAAAAAAAAAAAACTCTTGATTCCAGTGTCCCACCACCCCTACTTCTCCCAGAAGATGGGACCTTCCACTCAGGCGCAACACTGGAGATGTAACCTGATCCTCTCTCTCTGCCGCATTCACATTCAATCCTTTACATAGTTCTGTTCACTTTTCCTCTAAAACAGTAGTTCTCAGTGTGAGGACCAGCAACAAGAGTATCAAATAAGAACTTGTAAGAAATGTAAATTCTTAGGCAACAAAAACGTTTTTAAAAAACTGAAGCAGGGCCCTCCCTGGTGGAACAGCGGGTTAAAGCACTGCACAAAGAAACTTAAGCCACTTCCGCATGAGTTCGATCCTCCCCTGCCCCGGAGGAGATCCACATGGGGAGGCAGAGCTCTCCTGACCTGCCCACTGCTCCCCTAAGCAGTGTACTTCGTCAATCTGCCTGTTCTGTACCCCACTCTGGTGAATCCTCTCACCCACCGCATCTCTGGCCTGTACCCCAGTTCTGTACGAATAAATAAATCTTAAAAAAAAAAAACAAAAACTGAAGCAGGTTTTGTTACTATCCCACTTAAAAATCTTCCACAGACTTCCCACTACACAAAGAATAAAGTCCATCTCCTTGTCTGGAGACGGACTGTCTCTCCAATCTCATCTCGTCCACTCCTCTTGTACACCACTAACTACTCTCCAGCAACAGTGGCCACTCAGACATGCCAAGCATTTGACCCTCTGTACTGTGAACAAATCTAAACCTGCCACCCATATTTCTCCACTTTAACTCTCTATATAGCATTACTGTATTTTTTCTTATTTATTTTATTTGTCTCCACCCTTAGAATGTAAGATCTAAGAGAACAAGAGCTTTCATTGTCATGTTAACTACTGGACACAGGCACTGCAACAGTGTCTGGCACACAGTGGATACCCTTTAATACTTATTGAATAAATAAGTTTGGTACTTAATCTTAAAAAAAAAAAAAAAGATATATACACATGATGAGCATTAAGTTGTACCCCTAAAACAAATGCTGTCAATTATTTTTCTCTTTCATCAATCATAAAACTGCTCCAACAGGCCAGGTCTAAGGGAATGGTGCTCTAGAGCACCATGAAATTACACTGAGTAGCAAATCCAAGAAGGGGTGAAAAAGGAGGCTTTGGGAGGAATAGCCATCCTGAACTTCACCCCAAGGGCCATGGCTGTACCTGCTATGTCTTCAGGAACCATCTGCCACAGGTGCTTAGGGGCAGAGAGAGCCTGGGGCCATGGCCTCCAGCAGGTATCCTAAGAGGGTACCCTGGTATTCACCTGGGCTTAAGGAAGGGATGAGGACAGTTACACTGCCCACCTATTTCACCTCCCCCAGCAAACACTCTAATGAATCGAGGGACAGAGGAAACGAGTTGGCCCCAAAGCATCTGGGGTTAAATCTCATTAATAATGAAAGAGCAGGACTCCCAAAAGTTATTCACTCAAACATTCCTCCAGACACTCACTGAGTGACTATTCAGTGCCAAGACTAGAGGCCAGGAGCTGGAGTCAGGTGTGAGAAATGGTGATGCCTGTAGAAGAGAAAGATATTCTCCAGCAGAGGAGAAAGACACAGAATAGCTCAATACATTGAAGCTCTTATACAGACACAGATGGGTCTGGTCTGTTGGGCCATGATGGGGGCAATGGGAACCAGGGTGGACTTGAACTTCACCCCATGTTAACAACAGTGTATACCAAAGCCTTTTTTTTTAGTTTTTGTTCTTTCACCAAAATTTTATTTCTAACAGACTCAATCTGAAACTTCTAAACCATCAGAGATTTATTCATAGGAAGGTTTTTTCCATCTTATTTCTTTCAATAAGAAAAAAGGTTGCTTAGCCTAGAAGTTCAAATATAGAAAATTGCCAAACGAAGATGAATGGATAAAGACATGGCATACATATATACACACTAGAACACTACTCAGCTATTTGAAAAGTGAAATCTTGCTATTTGCAAAAACATGGACTGACCTTGAAAGCAGTATGCTAAATGAAACATGTCAGGAGGAGAAAGACAAATACCACAGGATTTCACACATAGGGGAGATAACAAATGAACAAAAACAAAAACAAACTTTTAGGCTATTAGAAAAAAATGGTGGTCACCAGAGGGGAAAAGCTAAATGGATGGGGAAACAGGATAAAGTAGATGAACTGCATGGTGGTGGATGGAATTGACTTTTGGTGGTGATCACAATGTAGTACACACAAATGTCAAATTCTAATGCTCACTCTCTGACACTATGCAGTTTTCAGTCAGTAATTACTTGAATAATAAATTAAAAATAAGCAAATAAATTCATATTCTGAATTTAAAAATCGCATTTAACCTGGAAATACAAAGATTAAAAAATTGTTTATGGCTCATTTAAATAACCAACCATGCTGCAAATACAGGAAGAACAGTCTAAGTAAACGAAGAAATCGGTTGTGAGGGAGAGTGGAGGGAAACCTTCACTGTGCATACACATACACTTCTGAACCTTTCAATTTTTGTACCAAACTCAAAAAATTACTCTAAATAATAAAGTAAAAGATTTTAAAACCACTATCACTATCATTAAGGAATGATGAAAATCAGGAAAGAGAAAAGTAAACTCTTGTTTTAATAAGAACACATACAACATATTTAAGTGTATTTATCTACATAGGAAATACACCAAAATATTAACGGGTGAGGATTTAAATGATCTTATATTTTGATTCTCTACATTTGAAAATGTTCCCACAATAACATCAAATATGCATCCAAAATATAAAGGGGAGCAATAACATTAAGTTTTAAAAAATAAATATGAAAGCTGGGTGAGACAAGGGAACGGAAGTCACCAGTTCCTGGCATGCCATCTGCCCGCTGCCCTCCACGAGAGACATGCTAACACAGGTCTCACCAGGAGGCTCTGGCTAGTCAGACTGCTCTTAGCACTAACCTTCAGGAGCTTGAATCGAGAAGCTGGAACAATGAAGTGTCTATTCTGCTTCTTCTTGCAAATGCTGCAGCTACAAAAAGAGAGAATAAATCTGACATTAATGGCCATCTGCAGCTGGAATGACAAAAGGCACAAACTGATGTGGTCTGAGAGCCAGCTGACCCAGCGGAGGCCCCTTAGATGAGCACTTAGATGGACTGGCGATCTTGGGCCTGTACAGAAGTGCCCACAGGTGCCCAACCAAATGCCTACTTCTCAGTTTGCTAAGAGAAAAGAGCTTCTGGACTACAGAGACAGAAAACAACTTTTAGGCATTGCTACCATCTTATGCCTCTGGTATATCCACACCAAAAATGGACAAGGACCACGAGGATTACAACTGAGATGGAAAAAGGCACAAAATGTATACACACATACATTTATACCCTGCACAAAATGATGTAAAACTATTATATTAAGAAAATATATATGGACAAGGAAGTTTGAGTTTTCCTCTTTCCTCATCTCAGAAGCAGTCTGATGCGGGAGACAGTGCTAAAAAGCAGGCCTCCCCAGATCCTAGCAGCACTATCTGCCTTATGCAGAAGGACAGGCTGAGAGGGGGCAGGAGCACTGTGAGCTTCCAAACATACATACTAGCCCTCCTTTCTCCCCCAACTCTGAAGATTCTACCCAAAGTTTTGCCTTCAACTCCAGCCTACTTCTCCCCTGACCCACCAGCAGTACTAGATTGAGGGATGAGCCTATCAGGACCCTGCTCTGAGTTCCCTGGGCCTGTGCTTATAGAAGTGAAGTGTCTGTCTCACACTCAAAAACACTCTCACTCACTCTTCTCTCTCTCACACACACGTGCTTATAGAAGTGTCTGTCTCACACGCACACACTCTCTCTCTCACATACACACACACACACACACACACCTGAGACAGTTATTCTTCGCCTCCTTACATCTTTGTAAAAACTTTTCTTAAAAACCTCAAGTTGCATAGGAAGAAGGAAGAAAAGAACAATGTATCTTTATATACTAATTACATGACTCAACAATTAGAAGTTCATGACCAGTGTTATTTCATCTACACCCCAACTTACCAGATGATGATGACGCATTGCATTTTAACTCTTAAATCCTTTTAAGCCAACCTGGAAAGAGAAAACACTTACTTGCAATCAAAGATGTGCAGGTCTGCTGCGGCCCAAACTTCAAAGCGGACTGCTCCACAGTGGCAGCCTCCTGTGTGTTTCACCAGGCCCTGGTACTCACTAAATGAGACAAAAATTAGAGAGGTAAGGATTTCTGAATATTCAGCAGGACCTTATACCACAACTCATGCTTTCTCTCCTGCTGCTGAGCGAGACAGGACAAGTCTTTCCTACATGACGACAGTGTATGTTTCTGCTTTCAAGGAAGCACTGTAAGTTTTACAAGCGGGTTCAGGGTCTAAGGGAGTTCTCGTCTCCCTTCCTTATATATGTTTTAAATGGCAAAATAAAGCATTTCATAAAGCTGGAAATGAAAGTTGGGAGGAAGGGAATCTGACTCAGACCACTCAATTTTTTTTTAACATTTATTTATTTGTTCATACAGAACTGGGGTGCAGAGGCTTCACCAGAGACAGAGCGGGGAGTAGAAAAGGCTGACTGACGAAGTACACTGCTAAGGGGAGCAGCAGGCGGGTCAGGAGAGGTCTACCACACCATGTGGGTCACCTCCCAGGCAGGTGGGGATCGAACTCATGCAGAAGTGGCTTTAGCTTCTTAGTGCTGTGCTTTAACAACAGCGCTACCAGGGAGGGCTCGCAAACATTTTTATGTACATGTCAAATACCTACTAAGAATTTTTCTGACTATGGGGAGAGCTATGAAGCTATCAGCAGCCACTGCAGCACGAGTTCAATCCCCGGCCAGGGAGCTGACCCACATGGCGCAGCAGACCTCTCCTGTCTCCAAGGCTGTTCCCCTCAGCAGTGTATTTTAGTCAATCCACCTGTTCTGCTCCCCATTCTGTCTCTGGTGAATCCTCTCATTCCTCTCACCCTTTCCATCACTGGCCTACACCCCAGCTCTTGTATGCAGAAAATAAACATTTTTTTAAAAGAAAGAAAAAAATAACAAAAGCTTTCTTAGCTACATTCTCCCCAGTATTTTTCCACACATGTGACTTCTTACATAGCTATACATATATATTACATACAATTTTAATCCTTTTAAAACTTATGTAAGTCAGGTCCTTAATTGAATTGTATTTCAGATTTGATGAACATCATCAAATTGTTTTCCAGAAGGACTTACCACTCTTATCTTCAATGTATGAGAAAACACTTCACTGTTCCTTTTCAAGCAGCAATTATAGAAAAGATAGCTCACTGCAGTTTTAATATGCATTAGTCTGGTAATTAAAACTGAATACTTCTTCAAGTGCCTTTTAGAAGCTGAGTCAGTTAAGTTGGTATTTTACATATCTACAAATGTACACACACACACATTTATACCCTGAATACACAAATATTTATTGTAAAATATCCAAACAGTAGAACCTTTGGTAATGTCAAAAATACAATCTCCTATAATGCTAACATCCAGAGAGGGATTCACAGCTATTTACTATAAATTCCCACCATGCTTTGTTCCATGAACTATTTTAACAAAAACAATAGTTATACATTATTTTTGCATTCTAATTTAATTTTCGTTTTAATATATATACTCATATCAATGAGTCAAAAGAAATCTTTTTATATCAACATTTAAAAGTCCTTTCCTTGACCTTTTATCAGTTTTCTCTAAAGTAAAAAATTTACTTCAAGCATGAGTGTTCAGTATCTCCTTTACCTACAAGTAGCTAGCAAAACACAGATGCTCAAAAAATAGTTAATGGATGTAAATATAAAAAACCATTTAGTCCATGACCCAAAATAATAAAAAAGTGAAGCAGACAGAAAACCATTTTCTGAGTAATTTGTCCTAACAAAAAGAAATCCTTCTAGAACAAGAACAAAAAAATTTTTTTTGGTTAGGAAAAATCCTCAGGTTGTTATCCAATCGTTCGGTTGTTCTTGTCTTGTGTTTTGGGTTTTTTTGTAGGGGATTTACTGTCCATTTTAATTCATGAAATAATCAACACAGACCCATTACTAGGGTGCTGAAATATTTCTCAGTAGCACCGTTGTTCTGTGGGGTAGGATGCAATCACATACGAAGAGAACAAGGCACAAGGCAGTCCTGCCAAAGAAAAAGATGGTAAGCTCGTTTCCAACATCGTGGGTCATGGATTCCCTCAGATCCTCCTCTGATTATCTAAAGACCAGGAGGTTCTCTTCCTGCGGTATCAAAGTGGGGGAGCACAAACGAGTGGGCCACCCCGAGCATCCGTTGGCGGAGAACAGAGCCTCCCGCCCTTCGGTACCCGCGCGGCGGCTCAGAATCCCAAGCATCTCTTTGCGCGCGCTTCTCCGCGGGATCAATAACCGCCCGCTCCCTCGCTGGCTGCCGGGAACAATAACGGGATTTCACCTCCCAGTTGGCTCAAAACTATCGCAAGCTTTTCTCAACACCCTCACCTTTCCCTCCCACCCGTTCTCCAGAAACACGTGCGCAGACACAAAAAGCGACTCAGGGTTGAACAAAGTCGTGGGATTTATCTTCCTTTCCCTGGGAGCGGCCCCCGCACCCCTTGCGCGCCAAGACAACAGACAACGTCCCCGGCACGATGGCTGAGCCCGGCAGCGGCCCTAAGTGTGCCGGGACGCCGCGGGTCCCTCCACAGCTCAGGGCCGCGCCCCCCACAGCTCAGGGCCGCACACCCCTACGGAGCCCCGCCGCGAGCAGCAGTTAGAATGACGAGCGATGGGGTGCGAGCGGGGAATGCGCGTCGGCGACGCTATGGGAAAAACACAGAACACAAAATCTGGCCCAAGCCGCGAGCAGACAGACGAGAGGCGCGCCGAGGGCTGCTGAGCCCGAATCCCGCCCAGCGGCGTCCGCGGCGCCGGCGCCGCGCCTCCCGCACCCCCCGCCCCGCCACACTCACAAGGTGTCCAGCAGGAGCTTGGCGGCGCCCTCGAAGGTGAGCCTCTGCCGCTTCTGGAACGTCTCCCAGCGCTCACGCTGCTCGCCGAGGTCCAGCGTGGACACCGAGGACGTCGGGGTCGCCGGGGTCGGCGGCGGTGGCGGCGGCGGCGGCAGCGG